TGCCTTGTTGCAAACAGGATGCAATATTTTTATGCGGTACGTGTGGGGTACAGAGATGAGGTAGTCATTGAAAAATCATGTTAAACACTATTATTACACATAGAGTGAGTCCATGCAACTTATGTGACTTGTTAAGCATATTTTTATTCCTTTACTTGTTTAGGCTTGCCATAACAAAGGGGCAAGACATTTCAGCTTTTCATTTTACATTTATTTGTAAACATTTAGAAAAACATAATTCCACTTTCACATTCTGGGGCGTTGTGTTTAGTCCAGTGACAAAATTCATTGCTAAATACTGCAACATTTTAACACTTGCCCCCTCCCCTCCCCTCAACACATGTAAATGTTGAGACTATAAATTGTGCCTTCCTGTATTATGCTTATGCTAAAAAATTGATTATATTCTACTGAGACATTTTTCTTTGTTCATAGTCATATTTTATTTACTATTGTTGTTGCATTATCAAGAAGGAACCTGCACGTAAGCTTTTAGTTCGACAGTGTCATACGACTAATACAACTTGAAACTATTGCTGTGTAATTTTTTTCTCTCCATTTCATAGATAGAATCATGGGACTTTTATTTTGAAAGGGAATTACAACGAGCACAACCTTATTGTTGCTGGCTTCACACAGCTGTTTAACTATGCCCCCCCCCCCCCCCCCCCCATTTGAAATGGTTAAAATTTAAAATCTTAACAGTTATTGTTAAGGGTAGGTACCAGTTATTGTTAAGGGTAGGGGCGTCCCAAGTGTACAGTACAGTCACAGTCATGAGACAGATATTTCACCGGATGTATAAATGTGAAGCATCCTGTTGGCGTTTCCATTCACTACCAAATATGGTGGTGAGAAGTAGCCCAGTGGCCGGCAGTGGGAGATGATGGAGCAAGATGGATTTTGGCCCACATTCTGCTACTTTTCTCATCGATGAAACATTTGATCTCAATACAGATTTCTGTTTCCAAAACTAGAATCTGTTACGAACTGAGTGGACTTAGTTTTTCTAGACTTTATCCTTTGCCAACGTTTCAAAAAAATTGCGTTGTTTAGAAGGAGTACAAGGGCGAATTTAGTTACTGCACGAACACTTCAGAGTAGGCGTTCCCTAACGGAAATATGCAAATACTTGTAGCCAGGCTCTCGCTAGCTCGTGCTTGGCTCTGCCCACCTCCTTGCTTGTTCTGCCCACTATGATTAATTTGCTCCAATTGGAAACGACAGGCTGTTGTCTATCTTGGGTTAGTTAAAAAAACATATTTGGTATAGTTTACTCTAGCCCTACACTCGGGTGTATCACTTATTTTGTTTTAGCATCCTCTGTACATTATTTTGATAGTGCACAAGTGCTTACAAATGCAGTCATTACAAAAAGCCAAATACACTCATTTTATGCTAAGGTGTCATTATACACAAGTCCTATTGCACAAAAACGTTGGATATATTAAACTAAATAATGCATTTGTAGTAACATTAATGTAAACATGTTTTTATTTAATACAAAACAAATAATATAAAGCAAAAAAGTACTTTATGTTAAACTGAGGATTTTCAGAATATCTATGTGCACCAGGTTCTGTACAATATACTCAAACCTTTCAAAACAGTCCTTGAGTCTAAATGTAGAAAACTTCAATAGTCATTCTCCAACCACCCTTCCGTTCCATGTTCCTTTGAGTGAGTCCAGGCCTACACATTTCAGTCATTTAGCAGATGCCCTTATCCAGAGTGACTTAAGTTAGTGCATTCATTTTAAGATAGCTAGGTGGGACAACCACATATCACAGTCATAGTAAGTAAAATTTTTCCTCATAGCTATCAGCAGTCAGAGCTAGTAAGAGGGAAAAGAGTGAAGTGTGAGGTCATGAAAGGCTTTTCCAACTGCTCTTAAACGCTAGTAAAACTAAATGCATGCTCTTCAATCGAACGCCCGCCTGACTAGAATCACTACTATCGGCGGGTCTGATTTAGAATATGTAGACAACTACAAATACCTAGCTGTCTGGTTAGACCGTAAACTCTCCTTCCAGACTCACATTAAGCATCTCCAATCCAAAATTAAATCTAGAATCGGCTTCCTATTTCGCAACAAAGCCACCTTCACTCATACTGCCAAACATGCCCTCGTAAAACTGACTATCCTACCGATCCTTGACTTCGGCGATGTCATTTACAAAATTGCCTCCAACACTCTACTCAGCAAATTGGATGTAGTCTATCACAGTGCCATCCGTTTTGTCACCAAAGCCCCATATACTACCCACCATTGTGACCTGTACGCTCTCGTTGGCTTGCCCTCACTACATATTCGTCGCCAAACCCACAGGTCATCTATAAATCTCTTCTAGGCAAATCCCCGCCTTATCTTAGATCATTGGTCACTATAGTAACACCCACCCGTAGTATGCGTTCCAGCAGTTATATCTCACAGGTCATCCCCAAAGCCAACACCTCCTTTGGCCGCCATTCCTTCCAGTTCTCTGCTGCCAATGACTGGAACGAACTGCAAACATCTCTGAAGCTGGAGACACTTATCTCCCTCACTAACTTTAAGCATCAGTTGTCAGAGCAGTTTACCGATCACTGCACCTGTACACAGCCCATCTGGAATTAGCCCACCCAACTACCTCATCCCCATATTATTTATTTTGCTCATTTGCACCCCAGTATCTCTATTTGCACATCATCTTCTGCACATCTATTACTCCAGTGTTAATACTAAATTGTAATTATTTTTGCACTATGGCCTATTTATTACCTTACCTCCATAATTTACTACATTTGCACACACTGTATATAGATTTTCTATTGTGTTTTTGACTGTACGTTTTGTTTATCCCATATGTAACTCTGTTGTTGTTATCGCACTGCTTTGCTTTATCTTGGCCAGGTCGCAGTTGTAAATGAGAACTTGTTCTCAACTGGCTTACCTGGTTAAATAAAAGTGGGATTAGGGGACGGGGGTGCAAGGGGGGCTGCTGTGGGATTATTTAAAATACTCTTTGAAGGGTTTGTTTTCAGAACATGGGCAGGGACTCTGCTGTCCACCATTGGGGTGCCAGGACAGAGAAGAGCTTGGACTGGGCTGAGCGGGAGCTGCCCTCCCGTAGGACTGGGAGGGCCAAGAGACCAGAGGTGGCAGAACAAAGTACTTGGGTTGGGGTGTAGGGTTTGAGCAGAGCCTGAAGGTAGGGAGGGGCAGTTCCTCTTTCTCCTCCATAGAATCCAACAACACTGCCATCTACTGACAACATGATTTATTACATATTTTTAGAGTTAACAGTATTTTTATTTGTAGACAGAAAAACACTTATGCCTACCTAACCAAATGTTAATATTACATTAGTCCATTATAAAATAAATTACTCTAAAGGGAGCCAACATGTATCTGCATGCAGTTTGTGGATAGAATTGTGATCAATCTTTGCAGAACAAATATAGAAAACCTAGGTGCAAAAGCTGATAAGGCAGAAATAAACAGTAAAAATGCTAGTCAGTAAAATTGAAATATTTTCTGAAAACATATCTTAAGATGCTTTGTCAATGCATCAACATACTCAAATACCCTAACCCTGTAGCAAAAACAGGAAAACCCAGGAACATTGTCATAAAAATGTAAATGACATGTTATCACCGGAATTATTTTATTTTGGAATTAAACATTCAATACTGAACAGAAACGCATTTCCTGCAGGTAATAAAACGTATTACATACAGTGCATTCGGAAAGTATTCAGACCCCTTGACTTTTTCCACATTTTGTTACGTTACAGCCTTATTCAAAAATTTATTCAATCGTTTGTTTTTTCCTCAATCTACACACAATACCCCATAACGACGAAGCAAAAACAGGTTTAGAAATGTTTGCAAATGTATTAAAAATAAAACAGAAATATTACATTTACATAAGTATTCAGACTAGGGCTGTCAAAGTTAACGCGTTAATGCTTACATTTTCAATGGCGTATTTTCTTTTGACGCCATTAAAACATTCTTAGTTTGACCCTCTGAACTATCCATAGTTCAAATTCAAGCCCTGGCAGCCGATGCACTAGTTTGACAACCACTTTACTAGCTAGCTACTTGTATGACTGAATGATGGAGATTGCTAGTAAGGGGCTTTTAAATGGCAAATTACATTTCAAATCACTCCCAGATGGCTCTCTGGATAAAACCAAAGTAATTTTAATTTACTGCAAGGCTGAATTTGTCTATTTTTTACTTAACACTTTTTTTCTTAACTGCATTGTTGGTTAAGGGCGTGTAAGTAAGCATTTCACTGTAAGGTCTACACTGGTTGTATTCGGCGCATGTGGCAAATAAAATTTGATTTGGTTGTCCTTCTGGAAGGTTCTCCCATCGCCACAGAGGAACTCTGGAGCTCTTTCAGAGTGATCATTGGGTTCTTGGTCACCTCCCTGACCAAGGCTCTTCTACCCCGATTGCTCAGTTTGGCCAGGCGGCCAGCTCTAAGAATTGTCTTGGTGGTTCCAAACTTTTTCCATTTAAGAATGATGGAGGCCACTATGCTGCAGACATTTTTGGTACCCTTCCCCAGTTCTGATATGCACTGTCAACTGTGGGACCTTATATAGACAGGTGTGTGCCTTTCCAAATCATGTCCAATCAATAGAATTTACCACAGGTGGACTCCAATCAAGTCGTAGAAACATCTCAAGGATGATCAATGGAAACAGGATGCACCTGAGCTCAATTTCGAGTCTCGTAGCAAAGGGTCTGAATACTTATGTAAATAAGGTATTTCAGTTTTTAAATAAATAATTATTTGCAAACATTTCTAAAAACCTGTTTTCCCTTTGTCATTTTGGGTACTGTGTGTAGATTGATGAGGATTTGTTTTAATTTAAAATGTGGAAAAAGTCAACGGGTCTGAATACTTTCCGAATGCACTGTAAATATGACAATTAAAATAAGAGTTCTACAAGGCTGAACTTATGCAACACATTGGAATTTGGAAAGCGATTCAGTCTAACTCAGCCCATGTTCTTTCTAATCATTGCAAGAGCAGCCTCCTTCTCCTTCAAGAGTTCTTTCAGTCGTTTGATTCTCTCATGACGCTTGATTTCTTCAGGGTCCATGGGTGCTGTAGAGCAGAGATAACTGGTTGGGATCTCTCCAGCTGTACTACTTCCCTTCTCACTCACATTTGAAGGACATTGGATCTCCACAGATGTTTGCTCTTTATCTTCCATTTGAGCCTTTGTGGACTTTCTACGCTTTTGTTTAGCTGATATTGCAATTGCACAGGTACTGCCATCTGAGGTCCTGGTGTTCGGTGGTTTAGATGAACTAGGCCCCTCTTGTGAAGTGGATGATGAGCTCATTGCTTTGTCTTGTACTAGTGTTCCAGTCACCCCACATGGACACGCAGTGCATCTTCTCCCTTTTCCCCTTCTTTTTCTAGAGTTAGGCTTTATGTTGCTTGCTGTGCCACATAAGTGCCCAGGAGCGCAATCCATAGCTTCAGTGTTTGTTTGTGGGTGGACAGATGGAACGGGTGACTTTGAGCTTCTTTTTGAAATATGTACTGGATTGAGATCTGGCAGAGGTTTAGAAGGGACCCCTGTTTCAATTTCGGTGGAAATTAAATCATTGACAGTCGGTTCCTCATACCCAAATATGTGTTCAGCATCAGATAACATTTCCAGCTGAGGAGTTGGACTGGTGAGGGGCTGCATTTTCAACTGAGGACTTGGACTGGTGAGGGGCTGCATTTCCAACTGAGGAGTAAGACTGGTGAGGGGCTGCATTTTCAACTGAGGACTTGGACTGGTGAGGGGCTGCATTTCCAGCTGAGGAGTAAGACTGGTGAGGGGCTGCATTTTCAACTGAGGACTTGGACTGGTGAGTGGCTGCATTTCCAACTGAGGAGTAAGACTGGTGAGGGGCTGCATTTTCAACTGAGGACTTGGACTGGTGAGGGGCTGCATTTCCAACTGAGGAGTAAGACTGGTGAGGGGCTGCATTTCCAACTGAGGAGTAGGACTGGTAAGGGGCTGCATTTCCAGCTGAGGAGTTGGACTGGTAAGGGGCTGCATTTCCAGCTGAGGAGTTGGACTGGTGAGGGGCTGCATTTCCAGCTGAGGAGTTGGACTGGTGAGGGGCTCTGTGTTTTCTGAACTTTCAGATGCATTTTCAACTTTTCCTATTTTCAGTCTTTTAGCATCTATTGGGCAACTATCATCATTCCTAGTTGCAGAGACCTGTGAAACAAGGTGCTTAATTTTTAGAGTGGGAAATACAGTAATACATCTTGGAAAATGCTGTTCAAATTAATGGTAAAACAATATACTTTTTGTCTCGAAATTCAACCGTGACAATCTAATAGGCTAAAGTAGACCAACAATACCTCATGCATTAGTAAGCTTTGGAAAGTAGAAAATGATCAGTTACCTCGTGTTCCCTCCTTTTTACCAAAATGTTTGATCCCTGTAACAATTTGCGAATAGCCTCTATGGTACGTTTGTTTGTGGTCCCAATCCGAGGAAACACTTTAGGGATAGCCTTGGGTTTAGCATCAACCCTCTCCAAACATATTTTCACATCAGATGTGATCCCAAACATCTGTTTCAGCAGGCGATCACAAGTTTCCAAGGATTTCATGTCCAACACAGAAGTCCGCTGCTCAGGGATGGGATCTGATGAGCTCTAAAATTGGGGAATGATCAAGATTAAAAGCCTTGGTGAGTTTACTTTATTATACTGAACAAAAATATAAACACAACGTGCAACAATTTCAAAGATTGTACGGAGTTACAGTTCATATAAGGAAATCAGTCAATTGAAATAAATTCATTAGGCCCTAATCTATGGATTTCACATGACTGGGGAGCCAGGCCCAGCAAATCAGAATGCGTTTTTCCCCACAAAAGGGCCTTTTTACAAACATAAATACGCCTTGCATGCTCCCTCAAAACTTGAGACATCTGTGGCATTGTGTTGTGTGACAAAACTGCACATTTTAAAGTGGCCTTTTATTGTCCCAAGCACAAGGTGCACCTGTGTAATAATAATGCTGTTTAATCAGCTTCTTGATATGCCACATCTGTCAGGTGGATGGATAATTTTGGCAAATGAGAAATGCTCACTAACAGGGATGTAAACAAATTTGTGCACAACATTTGAGAGAAATAACCTTTTTGTGCGCATGGAACATTTCTGGGATATTTATTTTTAGCTCATGAAACGTGGTACCAACACTTTAAATGTTATGGTTAATATTATTGTTCAGTGTAGCTATCTGAGTAGTGGGATGTCTTACCTTTTCTTTGTGAGTCTCCATTTCTGTTTGGAGAGAGGTACTTCCAGGAATGTTGTCCATTTCTTGCGTGGCGGCATGGTGCTGACTGTTTCCAATCCCCTGGTCAGTGGCATCATCCTGGACGCTCCCCATTTCTTGGGTTGAAGCACTGGGACGACTGCTTCCCATTTCCTTGCTAGTGGCATTACCCTGAATGTTCTCTATTCGGATTCCAGTTGCACGGCCATGAAATCTTTGCAGTATTTTCCTATACTGACCAGTGATGTTTTGCTGACGGGAGTTCAACTCTAGGCCTGTTGCACTACCTTGAAAGCCTGCCATGTCTTGGGCAGTGGCAATGCTCTGACACTTTTCTATTGACAGGCCAGATACTTTCTTCTGACTATCCACTACCTGGCCATTCAAATGATCTTGACTGCATAACATTTCTTGTTCAGCTTCCAAGTCATTCAGCATATAAGCCATTTCTTTGTCTCCTTCAACTACTTTAGACACCGTTTTGGGTGGAAGGTATGAGACAAATATTACATTGGAGTCTTCGTCCTCATCGACTTCAGGTTGCCTTGTTACGCCCCTTGTTGATATTGCCTGGCATGTAAGGTCATCCTGTGGATCATCGTCACAGAGGTCAATGATGTCATCTGGTATAACAATGTGTTTAGGATCTGGTCTGGTTTTATTTGACAATTGTGATCCAAATGAGGCGCTTAAGGGTAGGGAGGGCGGTAAGCTGATTCTCTGATTGAATCCAACACTTTCTGCTGCCTGTGTGGTGGAGTCACCCATGTTCCTACTGGCCTCCAAGGGCTTTGATGGTCGGTTACAAAGCTCAGGGGTTTTCTTGGCTACAAAATACACCTTCCCATTGTACATCACTAAGGCATTGTCCTTCTCTTGGCCAATTTTTGTCTGACTCTCTTGGGAAGGTGAACACTTTTTTGCTGTGTTTTCACAGGTTTTGGTGCCTTTTTCCATCTCTGCCAGAGTTTTCAGAATATCTGAGGTCATAGAAGAGGAATTCACAGGAACAAGGCATGGAGCAGGTGAGCCATCCGCCTCCTCAATCACCCACTTAATAGGAGTGACCGGTCTTTTGCCATCCTTAGCAGTAGTAGAACACGGTGTTGAGCCTGTCGAAGAGCATGTAGAAAGTGTCTGGCCAGATGACCTTGGAAGTCGGCTGAGGGAGAGGGCTGTCTTCTGAGATGTTGGACATAATGGAGTACCACCTGGTTTCATGGTTTGGACAGGGGACACATAAAGAACCATTGGCAAATTTGAATTTGAGGCACAGCTCGTTGATGAAGTAAATATCTGTCTCTTTATGGCTGGGGGGAGTGCGGATGCTGGAAGGGTTTTCACTTGAGCATTAGGGGGAATTTGAAGGTATTGTCCATTTGGAAGCGCTGGAGATTTCACAGTGACTGGCAGCTGTTCCTTATTCAAAAGTGTTAGCTCAGGTGATGTCAAGGATACCGCACTTTGGGCTACTTTTGTTGTTACTATAGGAGTCTGGATGCTCACTGAATGATATATTCCTGTCAGATTGGTTGGATTTGGAGAGGTACTCATGTAAAATTGCCTTTTATTCACAGATTGTCCTTTAGCTGTGGGTCCCAAAGTAGACATGTTAATCTTCGAAATTGATGGCACGTCCAAGGTAAGATCTCGTTGAGGTTCAGCAATATCCTTCATAGTGCTTGTTGGTGATCGAACAAACTGTCCGTTGACTTTTTGAACAGGGATTAGTTTCATAACATTTCTCCCATCACTTCCCACAGCTGGCATCGCTTGGTAAAAGACACCTGTCCCACTGAAAAGGAAAAATATAATACATAAGCATTTCACAGCAAGACAGTTCAGGCAATTAAAATCGTTTTGAGAGTTTTGATTATCTGTCCCTACAAAAATATATGCCTAGGCCTATGTGTTTGATACAATACATGAACAATACAGGCCACCTCTTAATTGAGATCAAATCAATGCAGTTAGATTTGCTTGTATACAACAGCTGCACGCTTACTCATGCACTGACACATCACACACTTTCCTTTTGTTGAACCTTACTCCCTACTTATTTGTTTTATGTTTTTCTTTGTCTTTTGTCTCACATAGTTGTTGTATAGATTTTTGTTTATTGTGTTTCTTTAATACCATCTAAAGCACCTTTGGATCCTTGAAAAGCGCTATATCGTTCCCATGTATTATTATTATTTATAGTGGTGGCTGGAAGCTTGCCTGATGACACACCCTGAATTTAATTCCGCTGCTCTATAGATTCCTACATACATTTAGTCTGAAACACACGTGGCGCTATTTCTTTTTAAACGTAAACATAATAAATAAATATATATTATTTTGGGGGAGTTGGGGTCTCAACAAATGCTAACAAATTACTACCAAATTCCCATAGCAGACACTAGCTAAATGCTAACAAGTGCAAGCGAACATAAACTAATTGCAAGAACAGACTGCCATCTCAAATACTACTCACAGTTTGCTGCATGCACAAAACAAATATTAGACAGCAGGGATCTTGATCCTGTAGGGGATTGATTGTCTCTGCTGTAACCAAGAAGCTTGATCTTGCCATCTAGCTGCAAACCTGGAGCCCTGAGACAGATACCATTTCTTTGGCACATCTTAGATGGTTAACTTAAGTTATAAGCAGTGGCGTAGCACCCAACACCACAGCCCCTGCGACACGGGGAGCTTAGAGCTTTAGGGGGCCCGGGGACAGTATTGAAAATCATACAGTCTGTATTTAAGAATACCCCGGTATACGGTATATCGCCCAAGCCTAATTCATACAAGACCATACAGACTCCCCAGATCTTCACAAGTGTTGCAGTATGTGCAGCGTACTCTCCACCTGACTCACTCTATGCTGAACAACTCATTGACCATCTGGTAGACTGTTGACTCCCTGCGGGTAGAACACCCTGCTAGTGAAGTTATCATTGGTGATGACTTTAATCTAGTGAGCATGGAGAGGCCACAATCTTGAACAGATCCATAAAACCATAAGAGTGCAAAATATTATTGACCTGATGATCATCCACCCATCATCCTTCTACTCTGAACCTGCTATTTCTGACCCACAAGTGACCACAATGTTGTTACAATACAACTTAAAACTGAAGAAGTCCAAAAATCATACTGTCAGAAAGGTATTCAGGCCACTGCAAGACTCAAGCGTGCGTTCATTTGGGCAGTGGATCACCTCCCACCACTAAGTCCCACCACCTGTAAGTCAGATGCCAAAAGAGAAGTCAGCTGCCATATATACTTCCCAACAATCAAAAATAGAGGATCACTTCCCAACAAAATCTGTTTGGCTACACTTCCGTGATAAGCCATGGATAACCCCAGAGATAAAGGCAATGGTCAGAGACCGCCAGAGAGCATTCCATAACCAAATCACAACCCTATGGAAGGAATTAAGGAATAAGGTGCAACAGAAAATTTTTACTGAGAAAGAAGCATTCTACAGAGACAAGATCCAGCCCAATGGCATAACAACATCAAAGACTTAGCCAACCTCTCCCAAACTGAGGCAACCTTCCACAGAGGGTCTTAGACCAGACAATAGACATGGTACAGCAAATGAAATTAATAAAACACTATCAAAAGCAGGGATTGGAACCGGTTCATGGAACAGAACAAAAACCGGAAAAATTATGTTTTTTTCAAGGAACGGAACCTGGAACGAAAGTGATCCATACTGTTTCAGAACAAAACGTATTTAAAATGCATGGGAACCAGTTAATAATGTTATTTTACTTTCCAGGCATTTTTTTCTAGTCCCGCAACAAAGCGCCTATGCAAAGCCCTTCCTCTGTCACTCAGAAACGTATGTGTCTGACTGCAAGCTGAAAAACGTTGCTTGTGCGTGTTTAGGCTATCTGCCCCTCAATGCTAGTTAAGGATACTATAGGCCTAGTTATCACGTTTCACGTTGGATTTATTAACTACAAAAAAAGGTAAGACGTGTTTTTAATTCTGGTGCCACTCTGCACACACAATCTTGTTAGCTATCTAGCTCAAGCTTGTTAGATAGCTAGCTCAAAGGACATTCAAAGTTCCTCCACAGAAGCCGCTTCTCATAGGTATAATTATGTGGACCTAATTCAGATAATGCATGTCATAACAAGATGCCCAGCACGTCAAGCCTCCTCCTCAACCCTCTCTCACTCACTCCCCACCCACAAAATTTCAGTCGCATCTTGCGCCATAGGCTACACTTGTCTGTCCATCACGCATGTAAACAACTAGCTTGCCTGCTCTATCTGCACTGATTGGTGAAGTAATTTAATGAGCCAAATGTAAAAAACAGTTGATTTCACAGGTTAAAAAAGGAACAGAAAGGAACAATATAAAACTGTACTTTTTTTTGGTTCGAACTGGTTAAAAACGTTCTTGCTGGTCGGAACAGTGGAACAAAAAAAATAGTGGTTCTGTTCAGAACTAAACCTACCACCCATCAACCCAGCACTGCTGCCCTCCATTTTACCAGCATGCCCTGCTAATAATAAAAATAATAATTGGTCATTTAGCAGACGCTCTTATCCAGAGCGACTTACAGGAGCAATTAGGGTTAAGTGCCTTGCTCAAGGGCACATCGACAGATGTTTCACCTAGTGGGCTCGGGGATTAGAACCAGCGACCTTTCGGTTACTGGCACAATGCTCTTAACCACTAAGCTACCTGCCGCCCATGCATCAGCCTTGTAGACATCTGTACTGCTGGGTGTCTGTCTAGGGTAGGATGTTGGTCAGAGCCCATTCTGTGATAAAGCTCTCAGCTACTGCTCCAACAGTCCAACCCTGGGAAGTCTACAGAAAGCTGCAGAAGGTGAAAACTTTTAAGGCAGCGGACCCAAATGAAATCCCAGGCAGACTAATAAAGGAGTTTGCATATGAAAAGTAGCTGAGAGCTTTATCACAGAATGGGCTCTGACCAACATCCTACCCTAGACAGACACCCAGCAGTACAGATGTCTACAAGGCTGATCAACAGCACACTGGCTGGTGGATCTAACCAACAAGCTCTTCAAGTCCCAGGATAAGCATAGTTCCACCTGCTCCCTGGTGACCACTGACTTCAGCAAAGCCTTTGGCCGTGTCTGCCACAACCTCGCCATCACCAGGATGTTAGAGCTTGGGCTTCAATCATCGCTTGCCAGATGGATATGCAACTTCCTCTCTAATAGACACCAGGTGGTGTGGTATCATTGTGTGCTGTCTGAGTGTCAGTAAACTTGTGGCCTACCTCAAGGAACTCTGCTTGGTCCGCTGAATGTTATTGCAAACAGCAGTCAAGCAATGGACGTTTGTGGATGACCTTAATTTATTAGAATCCAGAACACTAACATCACCTCCACCATCCAAGAAGACCTGGCTGACCTGGAGAAGTGGTCAGTGGGGAGACACATGGTTCTACACCCTATGAAGTGAAAAGTGCTCCATGTGCACTTCACGAAGTCACCACATACACTACCACCCGTCAATCAACAACACAGAACTCCAGAAGGTAGAGGTTATCAAGATCCTAGGAATCTTCATTTAAGGCAATCTAAGATGGACAACACAGGTAGAGCACATCTGTGAAAAGGCCAGCCGACGTCTGTTCCTCTTCCGACGCCTTAAACACTTCCACATCCCTAAGGAGGACCTGGTAATGGTATTCACCACCTACATCCGACCAGCTGTGGAATATGCTTCCCCAGTGTGGCATGCAGGGCTAACCAAGAGACAGTCTGACACCCTTGAGAGGGTCCAGAGAAGAGCAGTATGCATCATCATGGGCACAGACCACACCTCCTACTCAGATGCATGCACCAATCTGGACCTACCATCACTCCACAAATGCAGGGAAAGTCTCTAAAGATCCTTCGCAAGATCTCTTCTAAAATTCGATCCCTACCACCATATGCTCCCACCCCAATGATCGTCTGTTAGTCTACACCAGACCCACTCCTCAACTAAACTGGAACTGAATCATTGCAGCACTGAGCGTTTCCGTTTTAGTGCCATCCAAGCCATGGTTTGCCTCCTTAACGGTTGATGAACATTATTTTTTAAATGTCCATTTTCTATTGTCTACATCTGTTGTATATTGTTTTAATATTAAAATGTTCGTTGTACTCACAATTCAGCATGTTGCTGCCATTTGTACAATGTTCTGTTGAAAAAGTATCTCAAGCCCAGATTGTCAAAAAGTTATACAAATGGGCAAACAAGTAGAACACCCAATTAGTAATTATGATGACTGACTGGCCCATAGGTGGCGGTATAATAAGCAGTTGAATTCAAAACCTCAGCCCTGCCACACTGTTTGGCATAGAGATATGGAAGTCGGTATTGTAAGTGGTTCCATCTTAATGAACAAATTTGTCCCAAGGATCTTTGACCTCCACCCTATTGGATTTTTCTCCATTTTGGAAGTTTTAACAAATCTTTAAAAATATTCTCATGAACCACAAGTCTAATTCACTCAAAACGTACGTTTACAACCTCTGCCATGACTGAGTTTTTGAAAAGATGACAGAAAATCCAAATTGTGTCAAATCTAACTTAAATGTCCCCATCCCAAACCCAATGAAACCGCTCAACTTCAATTTGATCCATTTGTGGACATGACAAGGAAGGTCTACTCTAAAACACATGTTGATATATCCAAAAACATGGAAACAGGACAAAATTCAGTTGTGAACCTAAACTGTTAGCATTTATGCTAAGATTTGGAGCCAATATCTCAAGCCCAGGTTGTCCAAAAGTTAAAGAAATGGAACATGTCATTAGAACACCCAAT